TCCTGCTGCTTGTTCTGCAGCTCTGTCTGGCCGTTGAGGAATAGCCGCTTGACGAACTCCTGGACATCCTTGGTGAAGGGTGTGGGCAGATCTACCTGATGCTGCAACAGCTCGCGCAGCAACGTGACCAGCACCAGATTGAGCGTCTCCGAGAAGCTCTTGTAGCAGTAGCCCTTGATCTGGTGCAGCGAGAATATGTCGCTGGCCTGCTCGTCCAGGTGCTCCAGCGTATCCTTGGTCAGCAGCTTTTTGGATACCGCGAATATCGTCTGCAGATGCTGGATGGGAAACGGGGGCACTCTATACAGGGGCCGAGGACCGCCCTTTGTTGGCGAATCGCAGACCCGCATATTGGGGAACTGATTGAAGCTGGAGCCGTAGCGCGTGAAGAAGTGCGTCCGCGGGTCGTACGGAACCGAGCAATAGCTGTTCAGGGACGGCTTCTGCTTGCTATTGCTTTGGAAGCCATAGCCCAGGTGTCGCTGCCGGCCATCGTCAAAGTGCTGGTGGTAGTGTGCAGCCAGGCTGCCGGACATGGAGCGGGGTATGATCGGTCGAAACTGATGGTTGGCAGTGGCAGCCAGCCGCTCGCTGCTGCTAAAGGAGCCGCCACAGGTGCCGCTGGCACTGCTGCTGGCGGTGCCGTCGCGTCCACTTACCCGCTGGATGGGCAGCAGCTCCGGCGGAAAGATGCGGCACAGCAGCGGTGGATCATTGCTCGCATAGCGGCCCATGGAACGGGCCAGTCCAAACAGCAGCGGAACTGTGGCCTTGCACAGTATGATCGGTGGCGGGGCCGAGCTGCTGTCCTTGCTCGACTTGACAATGTTGGCCAGGGCGCCCAGCGTCTCCACCTGATTGAGTATGATCTCCTCGCGCGAGTCTGGGCACTTGGCGGCAATGTCCGACAGCAGAGTGTTCAGGCAGAAGCTGAACTTTTCGGCCGACGGGATGCGCACACCTGTTACAAAATCAATTGGTATTATTCATCTCTCTGGGGTGAGGGCTAAGCCGGGCTAAACGTTACGTTCGATCTTGCTGCTCCTCGCATCATCGATCCAGACCGCCTTCGGCAGGCACTTGGCCAGCCGCAGCAGATAGGGCACTATCTGAGACTCGTGCTGGCAGCCGCTCTCCAGAAAGTATATGCCCAGCGCAATGACCGCATCCTGGGCCCTAGTGTCCAGACAGAAGACGCCCGCGGCATTCTCCTGCGGGCAATACCGGAACAATGTCTGCACCTGTGGGTAGTCCATAGGCAAAGGTCAGCTTCAGTATAGGTGCAATGGCAACCCAACCCCCCACCCCCACAGTGTCCCCTCACTGGACACACACACGCATGTCTCTTTTGATGGTCGCGCTTCAAGGTCAGTGCGAAAATATGGACAAAAATCGACTTTTCAACTGAATGGGAATGGGGCCCCTCCACTAACCTTCTCCCACGGTGTGGGCTGGATCCCAGCCAGCACTCGAGCCAGACATAGGACTGCCCGCTGGTACGTGTACTTGTCCGAGGCGGTCATCGTCATCTCTCCTCCAGGTCTCCTCCTCACCACCGCGACTCTGTGACACTGAGTGGGGGGCTACTTGATGCTTTTACGGCTGTTTCCCTTCTGTCTGAGGGGCGTGGCACGTTCGCTTTCGTTTAACAACCACCTTACGGATTATTTTGAGGGTCAAATAATCTATCTAAGCGTTTGTCATCGTCGTAATTCGGATTTTAAATTATATTTTGGTGTAACTTTTTGTTGTCGTCCAGTGTGACCGTCGCGATTCGGTTAATAGACTGGCTATCGAACTAGTTGCTCGATAAGAACGGTTCGGTGAACTGGTTCGATTGCCGTTCAGTCCGGCTCGGTTCAGTGCCTCCAGAGAAAAAAAGAACCAGATTATATATCGATACTAAATATAATATATATATTGTATATCTAATAAAGATATTATAAACAAAAAATATGTTTGGAAAGCTTGCAAACTACCTTACCAGCGATGGGAGCTGGGAGGTACCTTTTCCAGAGCTAAAAATATACAAAAAATACTATCTGGATCAATATGAAAATATCGTTATAAAAAGATAATTTTCATCGGTTTTTGTAACGTGATTTTTGAATGATAATCGTCGAATTTCTTCTCTCTTTCCTGTGTCTGCTAATTTCATGTTGTTATGAAAGAGAGAGAAAAAGCCCGATCGACTTTGTGGAATAACTTATCATATTTCGTATAGCGATTTTAAGATCTATGTATTTGCATTTTAAAAGCGTTGCAGAAGGTTTTACAGATATTCATTGGTCGATATCTCAAAATCGAATCACAACTATCTTAAAATTTTTCACTCCTACGCTCTTTGCTCTCCTTTGGGCAGACCCCCGAACTTCAATCCAAGGGTCAATGAATCTATCCAAATCAAATTGAGCAATTGAGCCAAAGATGAGAGATACGTGTGGTTTCCGGAGGAAGAATACTTCGCACTTTCATCCGGAAGTTAATGTTGTAACTGGCCCATATAAATATAAACCAATTATTACCATGCAAAAGTGGCATATGGCTATGGCCTACCATATTCTAAAATATTGCTTATTAGTCCTCTTTATTTGACTTTGAACATCGGCTTTAAATAAATGTTTTCTTGTCGTTATGTTCTGAGTTCCATGATCTTAAATCTTAGATCTATTTTGGCGGCAATAAGGCAAAGTCCTCTGGTCCTCTGGCGACGTTGCAGCACCTTTTTAGCGACCATCAAGACCGTTTCGCAAGTAGAGGCAACATGGAGGCCACCTTTTCAGTCAAAAATAGAATAATGTGCAAGGAAAATCGAAATATTTGTGTACAAAATTATGGCACCCCCAAGTGGAAGTGAGAGTTTTCCCCACCCAAATCCCTTACTGCACAGCTCCGACTGGTCTTTATCATATGCATCTCTGTGAAGAAGGGTTTATTGTCTTGCAACAATGGTTTCATCGGAGGAGAGACTACTATGAGAGATCTCTTTACATATGCACATGCCCTCGTCTGGGTCAGAGACTTAAATTGCCAGATATGGCTGATATTCAACAACGCTTTTCATCATTTATTATGATTATTAACCCTCCCAAAATACCCCATTATGTATATGATTTTTTTTGGAATTTTTATTTTCACTAATTTTTGCAACATTTCATCTTTAATTATACATACATAGTTTCTCATATTTTTACAATTGTTTTTGGTTTTTTTTTTTTTTTTTTAAATATATTTGTATTCCGTTTTTTCGGGTTTTCTTGCTTTTTGTAATTCGAACAACTTTAAACTTTTTACATCAATAAATGAGTGTCTTTCCACTTTCCTTTCGTTACTTTCTTATGGTTGTTTTAATTATTTTTGAAAAATTATACTGGCTTGAGAATAGAGAGATGGCTGAAAAATAGGGAAATATTGGTTAAAGGGTCGTGTGTGCCAGTCGAGAGTCGCAGTCCTGAAGCGTGTGTGGGGATTGGAATGGGAAACCGTGGACAAATCTGCAGTATGTACAGCGATGCGATCGACAGAAGGAGGTGGAGGCCTCGCCATATATAGTATGTACATATGTATGTATGCATGCATTGTAGGTATTGTAGGTATCTTGGCTATACACTCTTCAAATATCTATACATATTTAGTTACATGTTCTAATATATATCTGTATCTGTATCTGTAGCTGCATCTGTATCTGGTTCCATCGCATCCATAAGTTAAGTTTATCCTGCCATCCGGTTGCATATTCCATAGTCCGTTGTTGTACCCCTTGGATTAATCGCATAAACGACGAAGTAACTTCGATTTGAATTGAAACATTTCCATTCCATATGCTAAGCACAATTGTTTATTTAAATTGGGGAAAACAAACTAAATTTAAAGAGGGACAAGAAAGAACTAATCAAACTAAGACACAATTTTGTGCGAGTAAGAACCGCATGCATTGCGTGTGGGGAGGGTGGAGGATGGTGGGCGGAGGGCGGAGGGGGGGACAGAAGATTGCACGATGATTAGATGGATGGTTGGTGGAAAGGTTGCCTCAACGGGGTACTAGGATGCTAAAATAACAACAAATTTGGGGATTGGGGGTTCGGGGTTGGGGCAACTACATAAGTATTTCCGCTTACACTTGCATCGTTTCGTATTCTTTAGGTTCTATTGTTTGTATCTCATTTTGTGGACATTGAAATGGAAATTTACTAGTTTAACTTTTTGTTTTTGTTGCATTTGCATTCGGTTTTCGTTTCGATTTTGGTTTCTTGTTGCTTGGATAACATGAAGATCTTGTTTTGCAATTGGTTAACATCAAATAAGTTTCATTAACTGTTGATTATTCGCTTACTATAAGTATTATATGCTGTTAATGACGATCGATCCTTTTGTGACATTGATTTTGAGCTATATTATCTTGATTGATCTTGATCTGTTTGCCTTTCTGGTCTGACTTTCATTGATCTGTGTCCTATGTCTGTGTGTCCTGTATCTATGTGTGGTGGTCACTGGTCTGTATTCTGTATTCTGTTGTGTTCTGATTTGATGCATGTCCTGCGGGACGCAGGAAACTATTTTGTACATATATCCAATATATATACACCCATATAGATTTATACCCTTGCAGAGGGTCGGAGCCAGGTCATCCACAGGCAAGACGATGCAGGCTTGTTCCTTCCACTCCCGTCTGTTTCTATGGCAGACCACGGATATAGTGCATATCTGGCTGCTGTAATTACACAAATAATTCCGCTGATAGCTAATTGCTGCAAGGGTATAACTAATTACGGCATGCCGTAGTTACGTCTTCCTGCATGTTTTCTTGTATATTAATATATTTAATATAGTTTTCTTTCTGTATTAACAATTATTCTGAAATGTTTTCCTCAATAGCGACTTGGTTTCCATTTCCGTTTCCGGTTCCGGTCCTGTTACTGTGCCTTCGCTGGGGCATGCCTTTCTCTGGCTTCACTTTACACTTTGTCAATCTTCGTACTATTTAAGAGGGGGGGGGGGGGGGGGGGCCGGTAAGGCTAAGGGGGGTAACTTTTAATTTAGATTGGGATTACCCGATGGGGTACGGGTACGGTTACGGGTACGGTTACGGCTATGAGCATGGGCTATGATGGGCATGGGCATGTGGGGAAAGGTTTTCAGCTTGCTTTACACTCGTTTCCGATACATCGCTGGCTTAGCTTAGTTATCATTATCTATCCATGACTCTCGTCATTCTGTATAATCCCACCACTCCGTATCATAGCCCTCGTGCACGTGATTGAGCAGTACAGTGCAGCGCTTTTCACAATACCTGCAACGAATGGAACAGAAATGGGATGGTGAAAACGGGAGTCATCGTATGAATGATTTCTGGCTCGACAGACCTGTATTTATCTTGCACTTTCTGCTTAATATCAGCCAAATTTTCAGATGTAATATCACGTTCCAAGTACTCGGACAACGTCTCTGTTGCCGACTCCAGATCCTTTTGATTATCAGCGAATATCATGGATTGATTGTTCTTTTTCAAGTAATACGCGAACACGTACGTGTACATGAGAGTCTGGCGACACTGGCAAAGTATGTCGACAGCCTTTTTCAGAAATTGAACCTGCAAACGGACAAAGGTTCTTAGGGCAAACGCCACAGACAGACAGTCAGAGAAGAGTCTGAGAAGCATACCTCTATCCAGGACATGTTGTGCTGCTGCATTTCCTCCATCTTCTGCTTCACGGACGCATACAATTTGTTCTCGAATTTCATTGACTGCATGTGGTTCATGTAGCGATTATAGTAATGTAGATACCTGGATGTTGGACAGATACAGAGATTGGATAAGGTGCGGTTGAAGTTTGAAGACTAAAGGATAACCTACCTGGCCAGCGATGAGCGCAGCTTCTCCTGGGCATCGCGTGCCGTTTTGGCCTCGTCCTCGTCATAGCGATTGCAATTGTACCAGGAGGAGCCGTGCGGCTCCCAGGAACCGAGACACACCCAGCAGAACTCGTATTTGCAATTCTGATTCTTGCACACCATGTGATTGCAGCCGCCATCCTTCTCGATGGTCACACTGCACTTGGGACACTCTTTGGTATTGGCCGCAATCCAGTTGGACGTCTCCGAGTCGTCGTCGCACTTCTTGATCCACTTCTTTAGCCAGCGGCACTTGACCGGATCGTGCCAGTTCTCGCCGCAGGCGAAGCAGAACACATGGCCACACTTGCAATGGACGCGGCGCGGCTCCGCATACGGCACCTTCACCGCGTACGTGCAGTCGACGGACGGACACCATCGCAGCAGCTGGTTGCACTCCACGAAGCTGTTGGTGATCAGCTGCTGGTATTTGACTTTCACCCGTGCATCGATCACCAATTTGGTAACGGTCACATCGTCCACTAGGATATCACAGCCGTGCGCCGCGCACGATATGGTCTGGCCTAGACCCTCCGTCATGATCTTCGTTGTAAGATACTCGCGCCAGCAAATCATGCAGAATCGATGTCCGCACTCCAATCCGGTCATGGACTGCATTACATAGAAACAGAGAGAAAGAGAGAAAGAGAGAAAGAGAGAGAGAGAGAAATGAGAATGGGGCTCGCTCATTTCCTGTTTGGTTCGATTCGCGTCTGCTCTGCTTGATAAGCTATCAAAGAGCTTTTCATTTCGATCGATTCGAATGTCGATAGTAGGACTTGGCTCTACCACTGTGACTCATGGCAGTGGCAGTGGCGTGGCACGGACACGATGTTTATCTCGCCATAAGCAGGGCACTTGTAGCATACTCTCTGAGATCTAGCCGCTCAGTTGGATCTAGACAGACAGACAGATCAAGAATATAAATATTTGATGGGGTCTATGGAGAATATGCTTCCTTCTGGCTTTTACATACAACTACACGAATCTAATCTCCCCCAATACTCTACGAGTGAGAAAATCAGCTTATTTCAGTGATTGAGCCTCTAATTTATGTATCTAAAAGCCTGCAACTGGGCAGCTTGGAATGAAAGAGCTTTCTCTCGTTGTCTACATGTTGTCGATGTGTCCGTTTCCTGCATACTGCTCTCCCACAGTAGTATCCAGTAGCTGTCGGGGAACATTTGTGGACGGAACTTACGTCTGGCGGCAGCAGAGAGAAGCATATTTCGCACTCTTCGCACTGGCTGCGTGTGGTCTGCAAGGGGAGGGATAGAGTAGAGATTAGATATAAGTTAATTGGGCTTGAGTAAGCGCAGCAAGTACTCACTCTTTGACGGACTGCTTCGGTGACGTTGTTGGGATTTATGACATGTGCGCATTTGTAGAAGTCCTCGGTGTTGTCATCGAAATATTTCTCCAATAGCTTCTCCCTGTCCCACTTGAAGTGATTCAGCAGAATTCGTGTCTTTGTGGTAGGGAGCTTCGAGTGCGACCACAGCAGAGAAATAAAACAAAGAACGAGACAAAGCAAAACGATTGTTAGTGGTTGGGCAACAGTAGCAGGATGATGATGCTGATGATGGTGTCCATCCCAAATTGGCCTTGAAATCAATGCCAAAATCAATATAGTCGGACGACGCCATCCGACCCTGCTGACCGATCGAAGCATGGGAATTACAAAAGCAGAGAGTGAACAGAATGGGATTTGGATTTGGATGCGGATGCGGATGCCAAATAAATATTGTAGAATATTACACTGCAGTGGAATGAGAGAACAATTGGACAATTAGGCAAATCGACAACATGGATTGCATGCGACTGCAGAATGGACAGATTACACAGAATAAAATACTTCTGCAAGTGCAGGTGAATGCAGGCCAAAAATACGGATTGGATCAACATGGAATCACGGTTTAAATAGAAAACGAATGCCAAGCTGCGACCTTGTCCTTGGGTAGAGACAGACGACAGACCCATACAAAATGAGGCACTCCCTCGGACCAAAGAGCAAGATTGACCTTCAATTTATACATGATCTGCAGCAAAGGGGCTGGCAAGAATGGGGGGAGGTGGGGCAGGTTGATTCACACACACGCATACACACAGAATCAAAAATGCAATCACACACACACAACACAGGCAGACAAATGAGCATGTGTGGTCATCTGCAAATGTCGCCTCGCCTCACCTTAAGCAGCAGATTAACATCATCGATTATCTCCCTCTGATGTTGCACAATCTCGTCTGTGCTTAGCACCTTGTACTGGTAGTCATCGGGATCCATCTGGCGCTCCGCGGAGCTGGGCATATCCACCTCCATGCCAAAATCATCATCGCCATCGTCGCCCGAAGAGACATTGCCCGAGTCGACATTGTCACAAAAATCGTTGTCGTTATCCGAGTCCATGGCTGTATTGTATGTTTGGATATTAATACACTCAGCAGCGATTTGGTTGGTTCTTTTATTTTAATTATTTTTTCACTAAACTGCTTTTGTTTACCTCTTGATTAGATATTCTACGCACTTTCTGCCCCGTTCCGTTGCGGATGGGGTGGGGGGTGGTCGGTTGTGGCTTCTTGTTGCAGTGTTTCTTGTGTTTGTTCCAAAATTGTTGCACTAGTTGCACTTAAAGACTAAAATATTGCCAGGTTTGTGTTGTGTAGTTTCCCCTTGCTGCTCTATATACATATATATATATATATAACACATCTATCATTATATGTCAAAAAATGTCAAAGTCTGCGGTCACATTAAAGACGAGATTTTCTGGCTACACGTATAACTAATGTTGGTTTTTTATCGTTCAATTGACTGAATAAGCTGCATTTTTTACTAATTTATTCCTAAAGTTTGTTCGATTTTATTCCCTCTTTAGGTCGCACACCTTGCAACTTTCTTAGATAGTATCAGATGACCGATATTTGTATTGTTTTCTAGTATTTTATAAAACGCGTTATGGGCATTAGGAACATTCTCTCATGAACGGTTTTTTCGTCAGGTGGCTCTATTAAAAATTACATCTCTGTGTAGTTACGATGTAGTAAAAAGTATTCAATTTTGTTGAAATCTTTGTTGACCTTTTTTGTTAAAACCATATTTTCTAAACAATCTCACAAAAGGGAGTACTTAAATTAAGCCAATCGTTAGAAAATTGATTGATTAATCGGATCGAATTATATTTTTAATGCTGAGGGCCCTATCTAGCTGGTAATACCAATCCGAATATCCAAATCGAATAATATAATTTCTAATCATGAACAAAAAAGAACAACCCAACAATAGTTTAACATGCTTTGTTTTTGTTGTGACTTGCTGGCATATATATCTATATATATGCGCGCATATATGTATGTATATGATACACAAATTGTTTTGTACACAGATGGTATGATTTTTTCAAGGCAAAGACCACACACACGACTGGCACACGTACGCGCTTATGTATGCATATTTGGCACATACGCGGACACACACACACAAATGTATAGACAGAAAGCTTATGATGACTTATTGTTGACTTTTTACGCACTTGCCACAGTTAAAATTATCTATACGAGCAATGGTTCATTGTTACAGTTATGTCCGAAATATCAAAGTCCTTAAGAACATTGCTGCCTACTGTGAATATCCTAAACTTTCAATTTTAAAAATCGATTTAAATACACGAGCATTTTGAAAATTTAAAGAAAAACACTGTCTGTTCATTGTGAGACGTTCATTTTCGATTTCGATTTTCGAGGTCGACACAGCGCCACCTATCAGATAATTCACACACCATGGCGGCAGTGTGGTCACACTGAAGACTAGGCTGGTGCTGTACAACGCCGCTTTTAGCCGATTGTGTTCAAAGCCAAGAATTCTGGCGCCAACAAAATGGCGCGCGATATGATTGAAATTAAAACAACTGATTTATATTTTAAATCTTTATTTCTGTGTTCTTTGAAATTTATTGTACAGTAGAAGTAAACACTAGATGTTGCAGCACCACTATAGCCGCCTCGTTCTGTGCCATATCTGCGCGCTCGCTCTGATCCATTTCGCTCATCTTTCATCTCCTTCTAAATGGTGTACCCACCAATCTGAAAGATATCGCCTCTAAGCTCCATCCTGCTCTGAACAAGTCGGCGATAATCAACAAATTTCGTATCACATTTCATGAGTCATACGAAATTTATCAAACATAATTTTGTTTTGAGATTTTTTAAGGCTCGTAAAACGTTACCATTGCAATGCATTTTTTTGCAACATTTTACGTGCCTTTTTGACTTTTGCCCAGTTTGTTTGATTTTCTTGTTTTTTTTTTTTTTGTATTTAGGCTCGTAAAACGTTACGTCTAAGGCATGTTCTTTTTAATGTTCTTTTTTTCTTTCGTTTTTCATTTCACTCTTTTTCGTGTTCAACAGAAAGACAGACGTGTCAGCCGTGAAAAACAATACTTTTTCCGCGTGCCAAGCAATTTTGTAATTGATTGAAACTCGGAGTAACTTTCATTATTCTTTTTTTAATTCATTTTTGCGCCCCCACGTTTCATTTATATTTTTCGTTTTGTTTTGTTCTGGCTTCGGAAAACGGTTCGAGCAATTCAACACGCGATGTTTCTAGGGCGCAAAAACAAATAAATAAAATATCATTGTCTGTCGAGCCGATCTCTGAAGCTATATTTACTATTAACCACACCGCCCCTTTACTTTTACCCCCTTGACAGCCATTTGAAACACTCTGAAATAGAAGAAATAGAAAAAATGAGTAAAAAGCGATGATTAGTAACTTGCATGTAAGTATAGTCTCAAATGTAAGCAATAACCAATATGGACACACTAACAACTAACTAAGTCTAGAATCTAGATGATCTTAGCCCAAGCCCACCACACTTGCAGTTAGTTTGAGAGCAAAACGCGAGTGCGAGCGGTGAGCAGTGAAAGGGAAAATTATTAATAGGTCACCACCATTTTGTGCGCGTGGCGTGTGTTTGCGAACCGAGCATGTATGCGTTGAGTAACCTTTCAAAGGCAACTGTACCATTTCATTTACGACTTGGTGCGGCATAAACGAACGTCCCCCATTCTTTCCTAAGGTTTTAGATACTCCTCTTTAAACCACGAAAACGAAAACTAGCACGTATTACTCTTCTATGCCTAACGATGATTCTTGTTAGTGTTTTTAGACTAGAAACAAAATAACTTTGCTGAGGGTAAGAGCACCCATATACACAAACGTATAAAACAATTGTACAGTTTACGATTGGATTGGCTTGTCTTGTTTGAAATATCTAATGGCTTTCTAATATCAGTTTTCATTTAAATTCGATCACTAGTTTTTCTGAATTATTTTTAGCGGGAAAAGATCACTTTCGACTTACTTTGGGCTACGAATGACTTTTTTTTTTTGAAAATAAGAGAAGGAAAACGAGCAGACTTATCGTTAAAATATACCGTCTTCAGAAATATACCAAAAAATACCGTCTCATTTAGAAAATATACCGTTAAAATACTGACGAAGTCAAGTTCTGTTATGCATATTCCTCGTTTTTGATATTCCGTGGAATATTCTCAGCTAAATAGAATATTTAGCAGTGCCCACATAATTTTAGAACAAAGATGAATAAATTTTCTACACAATTGGTTAGTTTTTAGTCCTTGCTTTCATTGTATTTTGGCTAAAACAAGGTTTGAACAAAATAGTTCAACAAAAAATCAGTCGCAATGTTGCTGGTATTAAAAGACGTGATGCGTGTATAGCCCTTTGTACACCCTATTTCGCTAATTTTATATGAAGATCAAGCGAAATTTATTAAGACCTTTTCTCAAATTGATATTCTTTAGACATATTCAAGTACATTATTAGTATCCTGTGTATATTTATGTCGATCCTGATACCTACGGAGCCTTGGAAGACAAACGTATTCACAATTCTATAACATCCATTACCCCCAGGGTATGTGTGCATGGAAATAGCAACATGTTTGTGTATGGAATGAGACTCATTGTTGCAAAAGCGAAACTGCGGCGAATCGGGTATTGCCTATATTTCAAGCTATAGATGCCCACTTAGCTTTATCCCATAGATAAATGCATTTTCTACAAGATTGCGTCTTTAAATTGCTTGTAAGTATTTTATTTTGACCAAAAAACGGTTTTCAAGTAAATGTTGCCGCAACAGTGTGTATGGAATGCGCAACATTGTGTATGGAACTCATTGTTGCTAAAGAGAACTGCGGCGAACTGGGGTGAACTGCGAATTCAAATTTTCTCATATTCTTTGTTCCGTTGAATAATACTATTTATATAGAACATTTAGCGATGCCCACTCAATTTTATACGATTAAGGAATCAATTCTATACATGATTGGCCTATTCGAAATACTTGCATTTATTGGATTTTTATATAAAATTGAAAATTAAATTAATAGAAGACAAAAATACCATTTAGCACTAAAAAACACCACATGGGAGCGCGGCGAAAACCAGTTTTTACAGTATGACCCTTAGAACAGCACCGAAATATACGGTCTCATTTTCAAAATATACCGAGTGGTGCGCGCCAAATCGAACTTTTTTGAATGTGAGCGACAAGGATTTAAATGTTGTCAACCGGGCCTTTATCTATGCCCACATAATTTTATACGATTAATGAATAAATTTTCTACTTAACTGGCCAGTTTTTAGTCCTTGCTTTTATTGTATTTTGACTAAACAAGGTTTAAGCAAAATAGTTCAACAAAAAAACAGTTGCAATGTCGCTGGAATTTGAAGACACAACGCTTGTATAGGCCTTTGTACACCCTTTTTCCTCAATTCTATAACATCCATTTCCCCCAGGGTATGTTAGCAACATGTTTGTGTATGGAATGAGACTCATTGTTGCTAAAGCGAACTGGGGCGAACTGCGGCGAATTCAAATTCAATTCAAAAAACGACCAATTCTTTGTTCCGTTGAATAATACTATTTATATAGAACATTTAGCGATGCCCACTCAATTTTATACGATTAAGGAATCAATTCTATACATGATTGGTGTATTCGAAATACTTGCATTTATTGGATTTTTATATAAAATTGAAAATTAAATTAATAGATTGATGAAAATTGACAAAAATACCATGGGAGCGCGGCGAAAACCAGTATTTCTACAGTATGACCCTCAGAACAGCACCAAAATATACCGTCTCATTATAAAAATATACCGTAAATATACTGACGAATTCAAGTTCCATTTTACATATTCCTCGTTTTTGATGTTCCGTAAAATATTATATGCTAGATAGAACATTTAGCCATGCCCACTCAATTTTGTACGATTAATCAATCAATTTTCTACTTGACTGGCACATTAAATACTTGGCTTTGCTTGTTTTTGCCTCAATTTTGGTTTCTCAACAACAATATAGCGACTCGTATGATGGAAAACCGAGCTTAGCCCACTTAAGCCCCCTATATTTAACTACACGAGGTAAATGGCGGAATATATTAACGATTGTAAATTCTTATAGATCCATCCTATCCTTCCCTTTAAGTTGCCAAACCCCACGAATCTTTCATCTGAACTGCGCTAAAATGATTACCCCCTTGGCTTATAATAGGTTAATAGTTCCATATTGCTTAATTTTGATGTTCCGTCAAATATAATAAGCTACATAGAACATTTAGCCATGCCCACATAATGTTATCCAATTAATGAACCCCTTTTCTAATTGGCTGGCTTATTTTAAACACTTACTTTAGTTGGATTTAGACAAAAAAAGGTTTAGCAAAAATGGGGAAACAAAAAAAACGAAAGAGGATAGTCGTTCCTATTGTTCAATATTGATATGCCGTCGAATATTATTAGCTAGATAAAACATTTTGCCATGCCTACATAATTTTATACGATTTATGAATCAAACCAAATCGTTGCGTTAAATTTAGAAAGGAGAAAAATTGTGAATATTCTGCTCGGCGCCTTTTAAGCCCATAAACACCAATTTTCTTCATTTGAAATACTCTCAAGACAATCAGAGACACAGCCAAATTCGATAGAAGAGCAAAATTGGAAAATAGACTGGACTCTTGCACGATTTAATGGATCTTTTTTATTATTTGCATTATGTTTATATGTATACGACAGATCTTTATTCAGATCAGTATGCTGAAGTGATGCTGGAGACCAACCGTTTTCAGTAATTTCAGGCTGCATATTTTTTTAATTGCATGTATCAACTCTCAAACAGCTAGTTTTCGTTTTCAAGATTATCACAGATGTTTCTTCGACACCCTCTTCGTCCTCTCCCATCACTGGGAAATATAGTTTATTTCTTTGGTCTGCTCGTTCTTCGTGTGGGTAAGGGTATGTCTTTTAAGAGATGTACTATGGTTAAAGCCCTTTGAGCAGTAAGAACACTTGTAGGGCTGCTCCCCAGTGTGAGTGTAGGTGTGTACTTGGAGAGTTGATTTGAGCTTAAAGGACATCGAGCAGTGAGCACATTTGTAGGGTCGATCACCTGTGTGCGTACGGATGTGGTCGCCGAGATGTGATTGTTGTTGAAAGGATTTGGGGCAGTAGGAGCATTTGTAGGGTCGCTCCCCAGTGTGGATACGCGTATGGGCTTGCAGATGGGATTTTTGTTGAAATGACATCGAGCAAAGGTCGCATTTGTAGGGTCGCTCCCCAGTGTGAATACGCGTGTGGGCTTGAAGATGCGATTTTTGTTGAAATGACTTCGAGCAGTGAGTACAATTATACGGTCGCTCCCCAGTGTGGGTACGGATGTGTTCGCTGAGATGGGATTTTTGTTTAAAGAGCTTCGAGCAGTAAAAGCATTGATAGGGTCTATCTAAATTATCATTGTTGTCTCTAGCATCTTTTTGTATTTGTGCATCGGATGCCACACTTTTTGAGTGCTCACTTATACTATCAGACAGCTCCCAGTCCTGCTCGTCTTTAGCGTTATCACAGAGATCTTCTTGTATACCCTTCTTCATCACTGGGAAGTAGAGCTTATGGCTTTGCTCATAGGTTTGCTTAAGATTGAAGGCATTTACTGCATCCTTAAGGCATGGCGGGCATATATTTTCAGGGAATGAATCACCTCGCTTAACGTCGTACCCGGTACACTGCGCTATCATGTCACCAATGCAAGTGTCCCACTTCTGTGCCTCCTCAAATATGTTTGTAAATTCACTAGACTTTCCCGTGCAAACTCTGCATATTTGCTCCATTGCCTTGTCCTAAAAATAAATAAATCTTAATGAACAATAGAATACGATAATGAACCCATAAACCTCACAATCAACCAAATCGTCCGTCGGCCGCGTCTTTTTAATGAATTATTGTCAATTTGTTTTTGTTTGTCGTGTGGACTGTTATGTATATGTAACATGTATGTCTGTATATATGTGTGCACATTTATGTATAGTTTGCAGCTAGCACACATTTTATCGATGCATCGATACACATATATCACAAAAAATGTATATCGATATATTTATATATAAAAATAAATTTAACCTCTGTTACGACAAATAATAAATACAATCGGAAAAATTAAGCAAGAAATGAACGAAGCCGGCGCCAATGCAGATGCAGTGACGGCGGATAAAGAACGCAAGTTTCGCATACAGGGTGAGCTCTTTTCAGCCAAAGTCGTTATTCCAGTGATTCTGTGACGGAAGGTCTTTTTTTATGCAGGTGCTGCTTTCCTAGGACTAGTCGGCGGTATTTCTGCACTCTTTGGCTTCTCGCGTACCTTGGCCACGGCCAAGAAAGCAGACAGCAAGGTGCTACAGCAGCAGGGCACTCGACAGGGCATAATACTGATGGACGAGGGCGCCACCCTGGCCCTACGAGCCCTTGGCTGGGGTACACTATACGCCGTCTTGGGCACAGGAGCATTCTGCTATGGATTCTGGAAGCTGAGCGGAGCCAAAGACGTAGGCACCAAGAACCAAGCTGTGGGACAGTACTGGCTATATCTAATCTTCATTTTCTCATTCAGTTTCAAGAGTTTCGCATGAAGATGGGCAATGCCTTGCCGCGCATCACCAAAGACGAGCCCCCAGCAAGCCGCACTGACTTCGAAAGTCTTACAGACCTGATGAAATACTTGGGGTCCTGGGCCAAGGAATAAGCAATAAAAACTCAAATTAATTAGAATTAATACAATTGGAGCTAAGCCATTTTGTTAGCCTGTGTTTATTTCGTTTTTCATCAATAATTAAGTATACATATAAACATCAGCCGCGTTTTGATGGCTTCTTAGTTGTTTCTGTGCCCAAGTTCTGGTTAAAAACGTTAGCCACAACAATGTTTAAGCGAAGTCGGCAGCGTTCCATTATGCGGGCTTGCAACTCCCTCATTTCCTCGTGTTTCTGCTTGAACACTTCATAATTCTTACGGAATTCCAGGTGACCCCTTATAAAATTCTGGAAGTCTGGACCCTGGTCCAAATAGGCTTGCTGTTCTGCGTTGGGCTTGACCTCAGGGATCGGGTTCAAATCCTCACGGTTGGATAGGGTACCCTCGTACGTTTTTAGAGCATCCTCGCCCTTTTTGGTTGCGTCAACCATAAAGTCAATCCACTTTAGCTGTCTGGCTTTGATATCATCCTTATACTCCTGCACTTCTTCATCCCCAGTGGTGGTTTCAAATACTGAAAATCCAAAACGCATACCAGTAGAGAATATTTATACATGAACGCGGGAATTCTTACTTTCGTCAATGTTAATGTTGAAGAGACTTTTTCTCTCATGAAATTTCGGTTTCAAGGTATTTTCCAGTTGGGCCGGAACATCATGAAGATCAATATCAGATATGTCATGGCCCAGCTCATTGGGGACATCATCAGTAGGTATTGGGTTCATTTTAGTGCAGTTATTAATATAACTTATGAAAAAATATTTCCGCGGTTTCAAGCGTTCAGAATGAAAAGAGTGCTGCACAAGGCTGGAGAAACATCGATGATTGATGACATTCAATGTCATCGATGTTTTGTGGCAAACTACTTTGATTGGTGGTGAATCGTCAGTGTACATTTTAAGTGAAGTTTAGGCGAATACCACCTTAATAAATATAAATTGTTGACTTAATCTTGTTTCTTTTTACTTAATTTAATCTTTGATTTAAAAAAACATCGGATAACATTTACCAGCACTGTTCTTTTAATAGTAAAATAGTAGTGATGCCAATCATATATTCTTTCCCGCTAATTTAGCTATTTCTTAGTGAATTGTGAGATCTTCCATACTTGGAAACTATCCGTAACTATTCACCCATTTTGCCGCGCTGGGGGGGGGAGGGTTTCTTGGCATTCAGCAGTCTCAATTAAAATTAAGGTCTACAGGTAAAATCTAGCTTTATTTTTCTATTTGTGCTAGCGGCAGATCTGAGACAGTCGATCTGGCAACGCTTTGCAACATCACAGCAACGACCTGTAAACAGCTGCGCTGCTGTCGTGCATTTAAACGAAATTTGGTTGTTGTTTTTTTTAATGAGATGATGATATGTCGACTCTGCCTGGAGGATACCGAGCACAGTGTGCCCATCTTCGATCAGGATGGAGAAGCAGTGCATCAAACGATGCAGCAGCTGGCGGAACTGATAGAGAAGCATCTTCAGTTGGTGGTCAGTAGATTTAGGTTTTAAATTGGAAGCATTTACTCACACCGCTCAATTCCCAGCTGGCGGCCAATGATGCGGTATCCACTTGCCTGTGCGGCACATGCTGGCAGCAGCTGTCCAGCTTCGAGCAGTTTTGCTGCATGGTAGCGGACAAGCAACGCGCATTGCAGCTTAAGATCGAGGTCTCAGATCCAGAGCCGGAACCAGGCCTTATCGTGTGGAATACAGAATCGCCTATCGAGTCGAAGATCGATTTCGATGGCGGTGATATTAAGGACCACATTTTGTGTGAGCCCGTCATCGACGCATTGGCCGCCAGAGACGATAAGGATAATGATAGTGATGATGGCGACCGATTCGAGACGGACTTCGAGCCCAACGCCATCGAGCCAGATCCTGTGAAACCTAAAAATCCAGGTAGGGGCAGGCCCCGTAAAACCCTCCAAAAGAATTCCCAGCTTATCAAAAAGAAATACGAGAAGCACAAACAGACGAAGGCGGAGCTCACTGGACTCACACTCCGCGAATCTCGAGCACGTGCCCGCGATCTTAGACGTAAACCTGAGGCTGTATCATCAGGCAACGACTCGACACCTCCGGACCCGGAGTACACTCTCAGCGTGCCGACCCGTGCCAGTGGAAATCGTGGCCGTCCCAAGACTATAACTAAGTGCAAGAGAAAGCATCCAACTGTTGAGGTACAAGCTGAAACTGAACCTTCTGTAAAGCGTAACAGCATAAAGGAGATGGACGACTTTATAGCGGCCAATGTGAAGCTCGATTGTTGCCTGTGCGCGGCTCCCCTTGCGGACTTCAACGATCTGAAGCGACACTTTCGAGTGGAGCACAATATCCTGGGATACGTAAAGTGCTGCAACAATCGGTATAAGAAGCGCACTCTGTACGTGGACCACCTACACTGCCACAAGGACCCGCAGTACTTCAGTTGTCAGCCCTGCCGCAAGAACTTCCTGAATCGCAACAGCCAGGTCATGCACATGCTGCGCTTCCACTCCGAACAGCAGGAGCTGGTGCATGAATGCTCCATCTGCGAGGCACGATTTGCCAAGAAATTCCTTCTGACTATGCATCTGAAAGGTCACAAGGGCACCGAGCGTCCCGAGGTCTGCGACACCTGTGGCAAGACGTGAGTGGTTGAGTGGGGGGTCGTTGTAACAAAATGGCAGTCGTTTAATTCAATTTAATCCTTACAGATTCCGCACCAAATTTGAGCTGAGCGCCCACGTTAAGCGAATGCACGCGGCGGACTTCACCCCGATCATCTGTGACATCTGTGGCACGCATTTCCGTTCAAAGGCCAACTTTCTCATCCACAAGAAGGCACTCCATCCGGATGGGCCCGTGGCGGAGGTGCAGTGTACTCTGTGCGGCCGCTGGCTACGGGACGAGCGGAGTCTCCGCAAGCATCTGGCACGACACGATGATCGCGACAATCAGAAAAAGTATCGCTGTTCCCTCTGCAACGCGGAGAAGTCCTCTCGTGCCGCACTCAGCAGCCACATGAGGTATCATCACTCCGCCAAGCGGCACAAGTGCAGCCTCTGCGACAAGGAGTTCAAACTGCCGCGCGCCCTCGTTGTGAGTACTGTTATCCCCTGTATCCTACACTCTGTACTCTGTACTCCCTTTCCTGTTAGTGGAATCATCGTCTTTAATTGTACCCAATCCGATCTGATCTATTCCTTAGGAACACATGGCCACGCACACCGGAATCGATCTGTACTCGTGTCAGTTCTGCACTCGCACATTCAAGTCGCACGCCAACATGCACAACCACAAGAAGAAGATGCATCCAAATGAGTGGGTGCGCAAGTATTCCCAGCCCACAACAATTTCCGCCTTGGGTTCCTCCTCAGGCCATCTCTCCAGTACAGAGGCGGAGGCGGGGTCAGAGACAGTGGCCGTTGCTGGGGTGAATCTTCCGGCACCGGCCGCCAACTTAATGGATGACCCATCCGTTGGAGAGACCTTTGAGCTGCTCAGCAACAGCTCCGCATGCCCCACGCTCGACTGAAACCATTCCGCTCCCTGGCCCTATCTTATTCCCAGGGAATGAAATGTGTCTGATTGTGCGTGTGTGTTTGTATAATCAATATATATATTGTATAAAATTACAAAATAAAATTCTAAAATTGAAAATAGGGTCTATGGGATTTGCGTGCGGGATATTGCTAGCACTAAATGTCAGGCGTCCTCGGGGTCGATGTCATCATCCTCGTTTTCGTCAAAAATGGTTCGAATCTTGATCAGGAGCTCCTTCTTGACGGCATCGGGGACGAGGGATCGGGCCCTGGGCGTCACCTCCGTGACCAGCTGCTCGACGGTGAAGCTACTGATGGCCCCCTTCTCCTGCAGGATGCTGCGACATAGCAGGCGCACTTCGTCTCGCCAGCCGCATTCGGTGAGACGACTACTGAGCAGGTCTTTTATCTTTACTCGATCGCCAGACATCATGGTAAACTTATCAACTGCGTTGAAAATGGTCATCGATATGTTAAATCTAACATTTAATAGTTTTACTTGTGGACTAGGCTGTTTTTCTCTCCGGTCGGGGGTCGCTGTTGCAGCTCTTGTCTGTGTGTCTCTTAGAGATGCTTTCCTGGCCTTTTTTCCACTTGCTTGGCGCCACTTGGCGAAGAATGCCCGCGACCTGCTGAAGAAATCTAGCTATTTCTTGCAGCCGACACTGTTCGCAACACTGCTAAGCCACCGCGGTCCGGCAACACCGCACACACATCGCGTAAACAGATTTTGCCTTGCACTTAATTTAATTAAATTGTTACTTCACATTTATGAAATGATATGCCGACTTTGTCTCGAAGATGCCCAGCACAGTGTCCCCATCTTTGACTGCGACGACAGCCTAATGCAGCCATCGCTGTCCAACCTGGCCGAATTGATAGAGAAACACCTGCAGTTGGTTGTGAGTACAAAAATTGGATTCAAAAATTCGAGACAAGACGATTGAAATTTGATTGTCCGCCCATTAGCTGATGCCCAACGATGCCGTGTCCAAGTGCCTGTGCACCAAATGCTGGCAGCAGCTGGCCGACTTTGAGCAATTCTGCGCCATGGTGATGAAGAAACAGCTGGGGCTGCCGCTGAAGCAGGAGCCTTTCTCGGATGACGACGAGGACACCAAGGCACAGATATTGTGCGAGCCAGAGATAGATGTGAGCCCCTCAGCCGATACAAACGAATACAATGAGATCGACATAGACACGAAACCACTGCCAAGCAGTGGCAGGACGACGACCAGGCGAAGGGTTCGCCTTCCGTCGCCCATACGCCGCAGCATGCGTCCCCGCGCCGCCCAGAAGGCCAGGCCATTAAAAGCGAAGGCGAAACCAAAACCAAAGCGTCAGATTGAGTCGGACCTGGACATCAGAAGCAGCAATAGCGGCGAAATGGATAGCTATATTGCGGCACACGGGCGCCTGGAATGCTGCCAGTGCGGCGGCGACTCTCAGTTTCAGAACTTTGCAGAGCTCAAGCGTCATTACCGGAGCGAGCACCAGACGGCCGGATATGTAGTGTGCTGTCAGAGGCGCTACAAGAAGCGTGCTCTGTACGTGGACCATCTGAGAATGCACAACAATCCCGATTACTTTAGGTGGGTAAGACACCGGCCATACTTGCTTCGCCACTCTCAGCTGAATCTCTTGCAGATGTAAGATTTGTGCAAAGCAGCTGGTCAGCAGAATAAGCTACGACGTCCACATGCTGCGATTTCATTCCAACGAGGACGAGCTGAGCTTCGCCTGCGACAAGTGTTCAAAGCGGTTCTCAAAGCAGTTCCTGCTGACCATCCACGCCCGTGTCCACCAACAGGAGCGCACTGAAAAGTGCAAGCACTGCGACAGATCGTAAGTGACGTGACTGCGCCGGCACATGACCTCGAACCGTAATATGTTCATCGCTCCCACAGATTCCGCACTGCTGTAGATCTGCGCCTTCACATGCGTCGCACACACGATCCCACCTTTGTGCCCTTCATCTGCGACTCCTGCGGCTCCAAGTTCAAGACGAAGCAAAATCTCTTGGTGCACAAGCGCACCGTTCACCGTGAAGGCTCACAGCTACCGGAGGTGCAGTGTCAGGAGTGCCAGACGTGGCTGAGCGACGAGAACAGTCTGCGTAAGCACATGTACATGCATCGCGATGCGGCGTCTACGCGTGAATGGAAGTGCGGACAGTGCGGCCTGGTGAAGGACTCGCGCGCCAAGCTTGCGGCCCACATTCGGTACCATCACCCAAAGGAGTATCACAAGTGCACACACTGCGGGAAGGAGTTCAAGAGCAGTCGCGGCCTTGAGGAGCACACGGCCACACACACCGGCCAGGACCTTTACGAGTGTGCCTTCTGTGAGCGCACCTTCAAGAATTCGGGCAACATGCACAAGCACCGGCGGCAGATGCATGCCCCCCAGGTTGCCGCACTGCAGCAGCAGAAAAAGGTACGTCCGAGCAAGCGGAAGGAGAAGGGCTCCCTGATGCTCTTGGATGAAGGGGATAACGAAATAAATGACTGATCGATTCCAAAATAAATTAAACTTTAAATTAATGGTTAGACACACTTACCTTTCCCTTCCCCCTCGGCCTCACTCACCCATCGAGCGCGTTAGATATTACTTGTTGTGGGGTATTGATTTACTCTTTAGAATAAAGATCTGGTCTAGACCCTATTGGAGGAACATCGCAACATCAGTTGGCTGTAGAAATGGAATTGGTTTTTAAAATTAAATGATCGCTCCTGTACACGTGCATCTCGTCTCTTGGTTGAGGATAAGCGCCATCGAATGTTTGACTGCCCCTATGATGGTTAGCAGCTCGGATCAGTCTATCGTAGTGCGCTGCACAGGATTTTCCTTCCTACCAAGAATTGGTACAGAATCAGGATTTATTTACAAAAAACTAATCAAATGCATGAATATGCAAAAAAATGCAATCTAAGACAAGGTCTTTATTAGTTACGTTTAAAAGCAGGTTGGAAAACAGTATCTTTATATAATATTCACAAAGTAGGGTATAAAAATGCCCATACTCTGTTTGACAAGAAATGAGGCTTCAAATACCAGCAACATGGTTTTTTTTTGAAACATTTTTGTTAAAGCCGTGTTTTTGTCAAAATAAAATACATGCGAGCACTTAAAAGTAGTTAATCTTCAACAAAATTGATTCATCAATCGTATAAATTCAATATCAATATTGAACAATAGGAACGACTATCCTCTTTCGTTTTTTTTTTGTTTCCCCATTTTTGCTAAACCTTTTTTTGTCTAAATCCAACTAAAGTAAGTGTTTAAAATAAGCCAGCCAATTAGAAAAGGGGTTCATTAATTGGATAACATTATGTGGGCATGGCTAAATGTGCTATATATATAGTAATATTCTACGGAAAATCAAAAACGATGAATATGTAAAAACAAGGACTAAAAACTGGCTAGTTAAGTAGAAAATTGATTCATTAATCCTATCAAATTATGTGGGCATAGATAAAGGCCCGGTTGAGCGGCTATCGGCCGAAGGCCATGATTAGCTACGCCATGGCTTGACAAAATGGTGTTTGACCAAACTTTCAAATCGACGAGTTATCATCAAGCAGCGAGTGTAGTTATTTTTATTCCAATTCAGATGAGTCCTCCAGCGAAGCGTGCAGTATCCTTTCGGGAACCAGCAAGTCGATCACCGAGTCCTGTTTCAGATGTGGAGGAAGTGGAAATTGTGAATGGGGATTGTGTGAACATAGAAATCAACACTCAGCAAGTCGAAGATGTTCAAGGGAAGGAAAAGAAAAGGAAACGGAATCAATTGAAAGTTCAGAAAGCGAATCAGAGTCTTGGAAATCAAAACGATGTAAATTTGATAATTCAAAAAGCGATGTCCCCAGCGGAAGGAGAACTTTTCTCACTGCTGGGATGTGTAACACTTCTCTGGACACAACAATTTCTATTGGAAGTGAATGTGACTCTGCAACGGTTGATAACTTTATCTCTTCAACAGAAGATATTCAGTGCGAAGAGATGTTTACAACTATTGATGGACATACTCTTATACGCACAAAAGCAGTTAGTAGCCCAGAAGAAAGAATTAGGGAAGTGTTCGTTGAAGAGTTTAGTGAGCGTAATCTTAAACAGCGAATTGTCCACGATGTTTTTGGAAACCCAAATAGACAAAGAGACTTTAGAATGGATTACGAACAATTATGTCGAAAATTTACCGGGACCATCCTCATCATTGCCTCACATGGAAACCACATCCACATTGTCCACGATTGCACCTATTCCAACAACTCTTGCAGATGTTCCTTCTATAAAAGCCTTGACCGCTCAATCAATAGAAGAAATTCTAGACGAGTCGTTCCAAGTTGGAAAATCACAACGCAACACTGGATCAATATCGCAGTCTATTTCGAAAAGGACACAAGGTGATCTTCATATAAAATTAGCGAAATAGGGTGTACAAAGGGCTATACACGCATCACGTCTTTAAATACCAGCAACATTGCGACTCTTTTTTGTTGAACTATTTTGTTCAAACCTTGTTTTAGCCAAAATACAATAAAAGCAAGGACTAAAAACTAACCAATTGTGTAGAAAATTTATTCATCTTTGTTCTAAAATTATGTGGGCACTGCTAAATATTCTATTTAGCTGGTAATATTCGACGGAATATCAAAAACGAGGAATATGCATAACAGAACTTGACTTCGTCAGTATTTTAACGGTATATTTTCTAAATGAGACGGTATGTTTCGGTATATTTCCGAGGGCTGGTCACAGTATCATCACGGAAAAACGCGGACACCGTACGCCCCAAGCAAAAATATTGATGAAAACCGCCTAAAACGTACATATAAAGATGCAATAGACTCTAAAACAGTAGCAGGCACTAAAACTGTTTCCTTTACTGTTTGTTTTCAAAGTGCGGCACTCTTTGTTTCTCCCGTGTGCAAAACCGACTTCTGCCCTTCCAGTGGCAGTGGGAGAAGAAGAAAAAGTCTGACGACGACGCGCAGCAGGCCACTGCTTGAACTCTCGCAGGCTAGCCTGGCCAAATCTATTGCCAAGTGGCCACGATGAGCACCACCACCGACTCGAAGGCGCCCCTGCGCCAGGTGAAGCGTGTACAGTTTGGAATTTTATCACCTGATGAAATTGTAAGTGCCATTTCTCCAAATGTCTGCGACGCCATATTGAAAAATGATCAAATTTCCAAAAATCACCATCACCATATGCAAAAATAATATTTAGTTAGGAATAGCCTAAGGTTAAATGTTTTTTGTCTGGCCAATTCACGCGAATATAATAATTTCAGTCGAGTCACTTTGGGTCTCGTCTCTCATCCAGCCAGAATGTATGTTTAATCTTTCATTGTTCTCGCTTGACGTATTCCAGCGCCGTATGTCCGTTACCGAGGGTGGCGTCCAGTTCGCCGAGACGATGGAAGGTGGCCGTCCAAAGCTAGGCGGCCTCATGGATCCCCGACAAGGTGTGATTGATAGGACATCCCGATGCCAGACCTGCGCCGGCAACATGACCGAGTGTCCGGGCCACTTTGGACACATAGATCTGGCCAAACCGGTATTCCACATCGGCTTCATCACCAAAACCATCAAAATTCTGCGCTGCGTTTGCTTCTACTGCTCCAAGATGTTGGTCTCGCCGCATAATCCGAAAATCAAGGAGATTGTTGTGAAATCGAAGGGTCAACCACGCAAGCGTCTGGCCTATGTCTATGATCTATGCAAGGGCAAGACTATTTGCGAGGGTGGCGAGGACATGGACTTGACCAAGGACAACCAACAGCCGGATCCGAACAAAAAGCCAGGCCACGGCGGTTGTGGCCACTACCAGCCCTCGATACGCAGAACGGGCCTAGACTTGTCCGCCGAGTGGAAGCACCCGAACGAGGATTCACAGGAAAAGAAGATTGTCGTTTCGGCAGAGCGCGTGTGGGAGATCTTGAAACACATAACCGACGAGGAGTGCTTTATTCTGGGCATGGACCCGAAATACGCACGCCCCGACTGGATGATTGTCACCGTGCTACCCGTTCCACCGCTGGCCGTGCGTCCGGCTGTGGTGATGTTCGGGGCGGCAAAGAACCAGGACGATTTGACCCACAAGCTGTCGGACATCATCAAGGCCAACAATGAGCTGCGCAAGAACGAGGCCAGCGGAGCGGCGGCCCACGTTATACAGGAGAACATAAAGATGCTGCAGTTCCATGTGGCCACGCTGGTGGACAACGATATGCCCGGCATGCCCAGGGCCATGCAGAAGTCGGGCAAGCCCCTGAAGGCGATCAAGGCTCGCCTCAAAGGCAAGGAGGGTCGCATCCGTGGTAACTTGATGGGAAAACGTGTGGACTTCTCAGCCCGTACCGTCATCACACCGGATCCCAATTTGCGCATCGATCAGGTTGGAGTGCCGCGTTCGATAGCCCAGAATCTGACCTTCCCCGAACTGGTGACTCCATTCAATATTGATCGGATGCAGGAGCTGGTGCGTCGCGGCAACTCGCAGTATCCGGGCGCCAAGTACATTGTCCGCGACAATGGGGAGCGCATCGATCTGCGTTTCCATCCCAAGTCGTCGGACCTCCATCTGCAGTGCGGCTACAAGGTGGAGAGGCATCTGCGCGACGACGATCTTGTGATCTTCAATCGCCAGCCCACGCTCCACAAGATGAGTATGATGGGGCATCGTGTGAAGGTTCTGCCCTGGTCCACGTTCCGGATGAACCTCTCCTGCACATCGCCCTACAATGCCGATTTCGATGGCGACGAGATGAACCTCCATGTGCCGCAGTCAATGGAGACGCGCGCCGAGGTAGAAAACATTCACATCACACCGCGACAGATAATCACGCCGCAGGCGAATAAACCGGTCATGGGCATTGTGCAGGACACTCTCACCGCCGTGCGAAAGATGACCAAGCGCGATGTGTTCATCACGCGCGAGCAGGTGATGAATCTGCTGATGTTTCTGCCCACGTGGGATGGCAAAATGCCGCAGCCGTGCATCCTCAAGCCGCGTCCGCTGTGGACGGGCAAGCAGATATTTTCTTTGATCATACCGGGCAACGTTAACATGATCCGCACCCACTCGACGCATCCCGATGAGGAGGACGATGGTCCCTACAAGTGGATCTCGCCCGGCGACACCAAGGTAATGGTGGAGCACGGCGACCTCATCATGGGCATACTCTGCAAGAAGACGCTGGGCACATCGGCGGGCTCTCTGCTGCACATCTGTTTCCTAGAGCTGGGCCACGAGATAGCCGGACGCTTCTACGGCAACATTCAGACGGTGATCAACAACTGGCTGCTGCTCGAGGGCCACAGCATCGGCATTGGCGACACCATTGCCGATCCGCAGACCTACAACGAAATTCAGATGGCCATCAAGAAGGCCAAGGATGATGTCATCAATGTTATCCAGAAGGCCCACAACATGGAACTGGAACCGACGCCCGGCAACACGCTGCGCCAGACCTTCGAGAACAAGGTGAATCGCATCTTGAACGA